TGCATGAGCTTGGAGACCATGTCTTCCACTGCTGCCTGCAGCCGCCCGACAGACGAACCTCCATCCGTGCCCGAGTTGTCGATGGGGAAGAAGCACAATTGGCCAGGCTCGTTGATGTGGAGCCGCCTCAAGCTTCCGTTCTGTCACCATCCCCGAGACTTTGTATCACCCGCTGTCTGGGCAAAGCAGCCGGTCACAATGACAAAACGCCAAACCCAACCTATCTACGCCTCCTCCCATATGCATCCCCAGCTGGGCCGCAGACTCATTCAGCTCTGGCAGCTTTTTGCAGAAGGCCTCAATGCGCTCGTGCACCTCCGTGTGCACGCTCAGCCGCGAGGATGGGGCCAAGCCTAGCTGTGCTCGAATGCTGCCTTTCCCATGGTTTGGGCCCACAGGGTGCCTAAGGCCGAAGCAGTCATCGTGCGTGCCCACAATGGCCACGGGAGAATTGGGCGCATGCACCACAATAGACGCAAGCCACCACTCCAGCGCATCCCAGGTCTGTGTAGACTTATCGCCTTCCTCAAGCTCATCATTGGAGCTCTCCGTCCACTCTGCCTCCATTGAGAGTCTCAAAGCCGAGAGGTCGACACAAGCTAAGTAGATGCCGTAGTCCTCGTTCCACTACTGCAATGCAAGTAAAGTGGTAGGCCAAGTTCTTCCAAGGCACGCTCAAAAAGAGATGGTGCATAGCATAATACACCTCTTGCCCTCCAAAATCGTAGGCCTGCGTCAGTTGCAAGCACATTGTGACAAAAGCAACCCAACTTCCAGCTTCCGTATTTCAGCAAGGATCAATGAACTGAAGTCCAGAGCCACCTTTTCACAATAGTGCCGAACATCCCCACGTTCCGAGCACAGTGCGACCTCAAGGACCACGGTCTTCTCATCCTGTGAGGGGCTGCCGTTCTTCGTCTCGCCGAGACGCCTGGCTCAGATTTTCTCACACACGGCAAGCTGAGCCACACCTTCGAAACGGACCCCTACGGCTTCAAATATGCCAAGCGAGGGCTCCGTTTGAGTCTCTGCTTTGGCTCGCAAAAGGCGTCCTATGAGCAAGCACGCACTATATGCGGCTTGTGCAAGGGTGTACCTGTCTGGGGTGTACGTGAAAAATTATAGAAACTAGTTGTGGGAAGCATCTGCCTGGCGATAAGGTCAACCGGCATCCGCTTCATCACACCCGGATCGAGGGTGTCGCTGCCTCAGACCATACGGCCAAAGCCCGAGTCAACATGCCCAGACCCACAGCCCCTCACACAGCCTTGCTCAGCCCCAGCTTGCCCAGATGCATGAAGCTGGTTTGACACCGCTCGCTTGCCCGGAGGCAGTCTGGCGCACCATGTCAGCCACATACCTGCACATGACACTTGAACACAACGGACGGCCCACAATGTATGTTGCACTTGTGTCTTTTTCTCACGTGCGATGACACACCAAACGACGCTGATTAGCTTCACCCTTGAAACCAATGAGTCCAAGTAACTTTGCCACACCCCGGTCCCATCTCGCAGTGCTAGCAGCTCCTTGCTCCTGTCATTCTAATCAAGCACACAGCCAACGCTGGTGTGTTCTCCTTTCTGGGTGACAAATGATGTGCAGCATTCAGACAACAAACTGCATGGCATACAGTCAGCTCAGTTTGCCGGAAAGGGGGCGAGCCACAATCTTGGGTGCTGCTTAAGCCCTCGCCAGCGGTGCCGCCTCACGGGGTAAACGCTGAGTTCCGGCGGGCAGTTACCCTTGCCACGCAAGTGTTCTCAGAAATTATTTCCAGGTGGGCGGCCCGTTTTCAAGGGAGGCAGTTTCAGCAGGTGTTTAAACATGTTACAGGGGGATTGGCCCAATCTTGGTTGATCTCCCGGTCCTGCAGCTGCCAGCGGTGCCCAGGCGCTGCGGAGAGCAACTCCTGCACAGGCCGCTGACCAGCCAACCAGCCAGCAAACGAGCATGCGGGTCCACCTCACCTGACTAAGCACTAGGTTGTTGGCATCCTTCACCTCTGGCCAGCGCGTGCAGGACGTGATGGGCAAAACTCGCTGCTGCCAAACACAAACGCACACGCCATAGCTTAACGGAGCTCGCATGTCATATTGTATTTGTCCTCAGCTGTTGCAAAGCAATCGCGATGGGCCAAAGTTGTTGGCAAGGCGTTGCTTTCCAAATTGCGGGGATTAACTTTCCCCAAAGGTTATTAGTCAGGAGGGGGGGGCGTGCAACCATCCATTTCAACCATCGCACCACTACTGCTTCATCCTGTTTCCAGCATCTATACTTATACTGTGCACGTGGGCATGTGCGTGTTCGACCCTTTCCTGGGACTGTGGCTCTCATCTCACTTAAACTGGACAATATGGGCTCTTCGCCAGCAATCAAGTGGCCTACACTGCGAGCCCTGGATCCCTGGAACTATTGCTTGGCGATTGCATCCGCCAAGTTGAGTTGCATGCGTGCCAGGCATGCCCTCCAAAAAGGAAGAGCCTGGGCTTTCCAGTGGCCCTGCGCACCCCCAAGCCGCTCGCACCGAATCCTGAGAGAGCGCCCAGCAGGCTAGGCCAGGAGTCGTCTCTTCTTCCGCCCTGGGCAGGCGCAAGGCGGCACCTTGCCGCCTTGCATCCCTGCTGTTCCCAAAAGCTCGTACCAATTGCAAACAAATCCGTCTGCGATACGGAACAGGCCCCATAATATGGACTTCTAGGCCAGTCTCGACGGCCAGCTCACCACAAGTCGGCTCGTGACGTATCCTCCTGCCTTCGTTCCGCTTCGCGACGCCATGGGACTTTGTCAAAATTAGCAACTTCGTGAGGGCAGAGTTGTAATCAGGAACCGATGACATCTAAACAATGTGTTACAACAATGGCTTGCCACAAATAAGCTCAGGATGCAACCACCAGAACTCTTCGGGAACCCTAGCCCGCAGCAGCTCTGAACCTCTGAACCCGGTCGAACGGAACCCCGACCGAAACAACCGCACCAGAAATCCAATCCAGCAACCGGCCTTGCAGCTGGAAAAAGCATTCCATGTTCCATTGCCCGCCTGAGCGGCAAGCCGGACAGCGCCCGCAGCGTGGAGGTCTTGCCCGCACGCGCAGGCCCAACAAAGCCCAGCTTGGCGCAGCGGGGCTGGTAGGTGCCTCCCCGACAACGCGACAAAAACAATCACAAACACGCGCAAGAACCCCATCCGATATGCTTCCCATGGGGTGCACGAGCCACGGCCACTAAAACATCATAGTTCGGTGCAAGTGCCAGTGCGCAGCTCCTGAGAAAAACTGCCTTGCATGGGTTCGATGTGTCTTGCTTCCTTCCAGCACCTCGGTCCTGCCCCTACACAATCACAGCTCCAGGTCCGCCAACTGCAGAGGCCGTGGTTGGGCATAAGAAATCCGGAAGGAGGGGGGGACCCTCCACCACTGGGTGACCCCCAGATGTCCCTCTACCCTAAAGCGAACCATTTCAGGGGGCCGTTGGGGCAATGCCCACACACACCTGTTTATGGACTTTAGGGTGCTCAATTCACCGACCTTGTAGCAAGACACGGACAGACAGGACTCAGCGATTAAGTTTCTGAACTTTGCAAACGGCGCTGGCCCCTGGCTTCCATAAACCTGGGACCACGGAATTGTGCTGAGCAGGGCCCCTAACAGGAGAAACAGTCTGCAGCGGAAAACCAAAGCAAACACACAAAAAAGCAAGAAGCATCAGCAGGAAAGAGTTTGCGCTTGCACCAGTAGCCCCTCGGTCCATCACGTCGGGGCCTTTTCAAAAAGCAAAGGAAATCGCAAACGAAAACTACGCATTTTCGGCGCGGCTGGGGAAAAGAGCTTGAACAAATGGAGGCAACGAGTACAAACAAAAGAAAAACCAGAAGCACGAGCAGGAAAGAAAATGTTTGCATCAGTGGTAGAACCCCCGTCCATCATACCCAGGCTCTTGACTGTGTCCATTGCCACGTTGCCCATGTAAAACACGCGTGAGTGTATCACACCGAGCCCACAACACACCCCTGTTCCTGGAGCCATTACTGCTCCGCGGACGAGAAACATGAACGAAAGGTAGGCCCTGTTTGCTTCCTGCAGCAGGAACCTTTCAAACTTGAATAGGAGAATAGGAAAAAGCGCTTGCAAACCAGCGAGGGCCTTCGCTGCAACAGCGGCATTTCCATTCACAATGCACAGCTCTATTTCTACACGTGGTGCACATGAAAGAAGCATCCCGTTGAGAAAGCGAATCCCCCCTACCCTGACCTCAAGGCGCCCCGCTCCTGGTCGTCAATCACGCGCAGCCACCCGGCTGCGCAGGTAGACGGGGATCAAACTAAAACCCCAACCCTAACCGTGTGCTGCGGAGGACCTTTCGGGGGGCAAAAGCTGTTGGCGCAGAAAACAAACACGAACAAGCGCATCAGTCTGGCACCTCCATCACACGCACAAGCACGGGGGAAACCGGGCTGGGATGGGCCGAATGCTGGTGCCGGGCGCAACCCTTGAATGAAACTGCACAGAGCCCCCTTCAGCAGCGGCAATCGGTTCTGGCACCAAGACACGATGCCTCATGAGAAGCTGTGTGAAGGCGCCTCATGGTCCCGCTTGGGTGTAGGAGTGCAGGAGAGCCCCTTCTGCGAAGAAGGCATGCTTGCAATAGGATTCAGTAGGACTTCCGTAATCAAATCCCTGTCACCTGAGGTTCCATGGGGGGAGTGCCACTTGAGCCGTGCAAGATTCTGCCAACGGCCCGCGGTTTTGCCCCTGCCTTGCAGCAGGGCCCTGCGGAAGGCATCCTTCACGTCCTCGCTCAGCGCCATGCGCAAGTGCGGTGCGGCGCTGCGCTGCGCGCGGAATGTCTCCAGCTTGCCTCATGCGGGCGCTGGTCGTGGGTCAAGGGAGACATGACATCGGATCGGAGTGAGTTCACCTCAATTATTTCGCCCGCGCATGGCACAGTTCCAGAAATTGGGCTCACTTCCGAACACATGGGCAGGATTTTACTTTGCTGCA